GTTTTGTAAATAAAAGAAATTATCCAGGTCACTTTTTGGTTTATCATTTGTACTTTCCTTGATTTCCCATTTCTTTTGTATTTCCAGTGAGACTTCTTTTCCAAGTCATTCTTGGACTTCCTTTTAAAGTCCACTTTTGGGACAATCACTATCTAGTCAAATAAAGTTTATCCCATACTTGATGTCATCTTTTGGACAAAATCTATCCATAGAGGCAGACAACATGATTGACACTATTGATATTGTGGCTATTAATTTCAAGCTCTGTTCTTCAAAACTTTCCTTTAATATTTTCAATGTTATAATGTTTTGCATCATATTTAGATCCCAGTTAATTAACACAAAGTAGGCTTGTGTTTCCCCCTGCCTTTTAGAATTTTTAATCCCCCCCAGTGTCTATTTTTCTGAAACTATTAATTTATTTATTTTTGTTATGGCTTGTAAAAACAAAATTTATTTATTTCCCATGAGAAGCTGTTTCGTCTTTATCAGTTCTAAAATCTTATTGTAATAATTTCTATATTCTAATTTTATCTGCATCCTTAGTCTGTTTATAACTTCCTGAGATCAAAATCTTATTTAGCTTTTTGCCATTTGTTTTAAAGTCTTTCCATCTTTAAATTTATGATTAAAATTTCATTTCATTCAGGATTGAAGGCAAACTCACCAGGCATTCATTTTCAATGTTGTCATTCTGAATCTCTCTAATAGCTTGCAAGAAGTTAATAATAAGAATTTCCAGAAGTGATTAGATAATGAGTTTAATGAACTCAGTGCCTTTTTAAAGATGTCAACTACAGTTGCAAGCAAGATGGCAATTCTTGTCATCTCCCAGCACTTACACCTGTGGGAGACCCTTCCCCTGGAGTCTCCTTGTGAGGAGCAGCCACCTGGGGCACAAGTGGCCAATCTCCTGCCCTGTCCTTATTCTGAGGGCCAAAGCTTCACCGACGGGTCAGTGGGGGCTCAGCCCAACAGGAAGTATTTTTCATAATGATTCCTATATCAGTATAACTAGTTTCCTACACTAGTTTTAATTATCCTTGCACATCCCTGTCCCCTTCCTCACAATCTAATTGGAGATGCATGCAGTTTAGTATTTGGCGTTGAATAATGTTTTCTTACTGACAGTAGGTTGTTTACACTGAAAGGCCTATCGTTGCTACCATCATAGCATTTTCGGTTACAATAAAGCAGAGAGTTTCTTATAAAAATAGCATTTAGATTAATAGAATAGCAATAAATATTTTCTACAGACTTCTAGATAATTCATTTTGATTTGAGATAAGACACTTTACCTTCAATCTCTGCTAATCCTACCCCTGATTGCTTCACGGCTTCTTGCCCATTCTGGCTCATCTTTCCTCTGTTGAAAAACATAGGTGGGTCTGCTGTTAATAAAGGTGATTCTGTAAATGTACAGTATAAATATATAAATATACAGAATACAAAAAAAAAAATCAGTTGATCACAGAGAAGCAAGTAGGATCCTAAAAATATGCAAGCCTCTTGATTCCCATTTGGAAAAGGCCGCCAGTTTCCACAGAAGGTAACACTAAGAGCCACCAGATCTGGCCTGATGCATAACTACTGCACAGCTTTAAAGTTTTGACGCTGCACGTTGTTAACCTCATCCAAACACCAGTCAAAGCCAGTGGCGCTATGAGGCCGCTTAATTTACTAGGTTAACCCAGTTGGGCCGAATGCTGCCGCCAATGGAAGAAACCACTCGCAGCCCCCACAGGTGCTTCAGTGAACTCTCAAGAGTGTCCCTGCCGTCCTTGAGGGGACTCGGTGGCTGGAGGAGGGACGGGAGGGCAGCAAGGGACGATTTGGCAGAAGGGAAGGCAGCTGCTTCCCGAGGTCTCGAGAGCTACCCGGCTACCTTTTCTCAGCGATTAGGGAAAACACAGTAAATGATGAGGAAAAAAGCCCATACATTCTTGGAATTGGGAAAAGGTTGCTGTCCCCATTGATGGTGGTGGTGGTGGTGGTGGTGGTGGTGGTGCCGCTGCTGCTGCCGTTGCTTCCTTCACTGTCCACGCTGTAGCCGCTGCCAAAGGTGCTGGTTGATGAGCCGGTGGAAGAGACTGAGCTTTCTCCTGGCCGGTGGTTGGCAGACCTCGCTGTATATGGAGCAGAAAGAGTTACAGAGACAAGGGAGCAACACCTATAAAGAACCCTCCTAAAAGTTCACTTTTTTTATCATCCATTTTCTTAATCATTTGTTTTCAGTATCAGCGCATTGTATTTTACATTTATCCTCCCACTTCTTTTTCCAGTGGGACAGACTGATGCTGTCCTGTCAGAGGCTTCAACGTATAGGAAGAGTAGAGAAAATCTTCCTGGGAAGAAGAAAAGCGAGGGGAGGACCTGGCCACCGCATGGCCAGGGAGAGCTGAGCAACCCTGCAGAGAGGGCTGAGAGGCGTGGGGTCATTCAGCTGGGGAAGAGAGGCATGGATGGAAGCCACCAATATTACCTGCAGCCTAATGAAGACACTCTAGAAACGTCAAGCCATACAGCAATGGGAGGACAAGGAGGATCTAAAAGGCGTTATCTCCTCCTGAGGCTTCTTCAGCTCCATCTCCTTTTATTTTCTGGAAGCCCCTCAAGATCTAGCTTGCAAACCTCAGGTGTTGAACTGGCTTCCCAAGAATAAAATTATTTCAATCAGGAAAAATACCTGACTTTGGGTTTCTCTCTACCATAAGATAGCCCCCACCAGAGCAAGATCTGAGTAGCCGGATTGCAGAATGAAATATGGATGGCTGTGGCTGCTTTGGAACCAAGGCTGACCTCCAAAATCTCTTAATAGGGGCAGGGTGGGGAGAGAAGGAGCAATGGGGGTGCCTGCGACTGAAGGGGCCCTTCGGGAGATGCCACAATGGGAGAAGGCGGGGGAGAGATTGGTAGATAAATAAATAAGCATTGAGAAAATGTTTATGCCAGGCTCAAAGCCCTTAAAAATCTTTAACCAAAGTGAGGTTGTGGTATGAAGATGGTGGCACTGATTTAGCAGACATTCAACTTCAGTACTGTGCTTTCTTGTTCATTTCTGTATTCCTGTGAAATGAGGTTTGTGTGTGTGTGTGTGTGTGAGAGAGAGAGAGAATATTGCTCTTTTTGGGACAAATTAGAGTTATGTGTGATCCTTTTGAAATCTTGGCAAAGATTAGGCTTTAAGTATATTCACTAGGGATTAAAGGGATTAAAGCTTGAAGTAGAATCACATGAGAAATTGACACCATGGAGTAATCCATGGTTTGAAGATAATAGGGAAGATGCTTTATTAGAAAGCATTGGCTAAAAAGGAATAAAACTGGTTTATTTATAATGGTTGTTTTAATGATTTTGCTATGGTACATTCTGACTAGGACTTACCTAGAGTTTTTGCTTGGTATTATAGTCAGTTGAAACGTGCCAAAATTGCACAGTCCAGGTACCTCAGTAGCTGGAATGCTAGTATGCTTAAGAAATTCTTGAATCCAACAATTAAATTTTACATAAAATTGAAAAATTGGATGAATATTAACATAATTACATTCCAGAAATATACAGCCTTAGAAAATTAATGACTCCAAATTTTAATAAACGTAAAATATGCTTAAGAATGAAACTAACTCAACAGAACATACTGTTTCTTTTTTATTTGATCTCAAGTAATGTTTGAAAATGCTGAATATTAGATTTCCATGTTTGCCTTTGCACGTCTGAACGGTTTATTGTCCTCAGAGACTCCGCCGTATATGCGTTTGCAGGGCAGAGCAGCCAGCACGAAGCCTATCTAGCCGTTCACAGCCAACGTCTTATTGAGTTAGAATGACATTGGCCTTCTCAGTGGACACTCGGAGGCTGGTTAAATAAAGGCAGGGAAGAGGAGGACCCAAAGCCCAGGGGAGGAAAAGGTGCACCTCCTGTTCATTCTGGTCTTCTGGGTTCCTGGAATGGAAGAAGGCCCAGCCTATCCTTTTCAAACAGGATACAAAAGAGGCGGGAGCGAGCTAATTCCCAGCTCCTCCTGTCTACCAAGCCATGAACAAATGAAGAGACCCCAGGTGAAATTCAGCAGCTGCCTTCACCAAGTCTTTCTACTCAACTTCCGGGGAAGAATTTTGTTTTGAAAGGTAGATTCTTCACAGCAGAATACACAGTACACGTCAAAGTGATAGCACCAACTCAACAAAACAACAACAAGGTGTCCATGTCGTAATTCCTGTGTACCACAATAGTCTTTAATTACACAAAAAGATTGGTTTAATCACGCTTAAGGAGTTCAAATTAAATGCATGCCATTAAGTTGGCAATATCAGCACGAGGCATTTGAGTTTTGGAGGAGGAAGAGCAGACTCAACCCTTTATGAGACTAGCCCTTTCAGCAATTAAGAAATCTTAATCTCTTTAAACCCAGTGGAACATTATGGCTACGAGCGGGGGAATAATTTCACCGTGCAGCAAATTAGCAGGCCCGGCCAGAAGGGCCTTTGGTTCAGGCCAGGCATCCCTCAGCCGGGTGTTTTTCTGCTCACCTCCTTCAGGGTTGAAGGGTCCATCGGACATCACTTTCCTGAGGGCTAGTTGGCTTTGCTCTTTGTTGTCACTGGCTGGTGGAGGCAGATTGTCAGACTGAGTTCTTTGAATTGGGAGGACGCCCGCTATGCTGTGTCTGTGCAGCTTCCTGGCATGATTAGACTGACCGCTTTTATGGGCCGCTGTGGCAGTTATGGGTGAAATGGAAACCCACAATATGTACCTCAGATGGAACCAGCTTAAATGTTAGTCATGCAAACAGAAATAGGGAGATTCTCTTTTCTGCATTTAAATAGGCAAGTTTCTTTGAATTCCAAAGAGACATCACATGAAGAGCAGTAAATGGTAATTAAACTGGCTGTTTCTTTTTAATTAAAATAAAAGGATAAAGGATTTTATTTCCTGCCTTTTGCATTACGCAACAGTCGCTGGGCACCAATTATCATGGAGACAGCAAACTCTTGCCACAGTTGGATTATACTAATTTGCCACACACTAAATCCTCAACCTGTAATTCCATGAAAGAATGATTTACACGTGGTGAAATACAGAAGTACAGCTGTAATTGTTAAGCCTCATTGCTAACTAACATTTTTNGAGAATATTTTGGAACTCTTCAGAGAATATTTTGGAACTGAAGAAGGGCCAAATACTTGCTAATTATAAATTCATTTTTTTCATGAAATCTCCTCCCCATGAGAGTCTCACATTGTTGTGAAAAGTATAACTATCACAAATATCCCTTACACTTGCTGTCCATATTCAGAAAAAAGCCTCTGTGTGTGTGTGTGCGTGGGTGCGCGCGCGCGTGTGTGCATGTCTGGGCCTTCTGTGTTTGGGTTGGTTCATCCATAGCTGTACACTTTTGAATTAACCGGGCAAACACACGAAGTCCTAACAATGTTTCATAATCATTATAAATATTTGTAATAAATATGCCTATAAACCCAGCACCCGGAGATCAATACTGTATTTTGATTGCCTGCAGCAAAGGGTGAAAATGGTGGCTGGCAGGATGAAGATAACTGAGCCAGTATATTTCTTATGGATAGAAACTGTAAGTAATAAGCAAAATAAATGGGAAAATGTGTAGTGTTTTCTGTTTGAAATCCTTTCTTTGTCAAGACACTTTAATCTGGGAAAACGCTATATAAATTTCTTATGGGTGCAGGATAATAAATACATTCTCCTGAAACTACAGTCAGAGAGAGACTGGCTCACGTTTAAGATATAGGGAAATACTGAAAGATTGTTCCATGACGTTACATTAAGGCACCCATTTTTTTAAATACTCTTTAACCCACCCCCCCTCCAGCAACAAAAATGAAAAATCTGTAAAGTTTCCTTTCTATTTGTTATTCTATCATCTTTCAACAGGGAAGGAAGTAGCACAGTGTATTTTCCTAAAAGAAAAACCCATTCAATTTCATAATAGCCCACAGATAGATAAGATATTTTTTTTCCCAATGGCAACTTTCCAATCCCCAGCAAAGTTATGAAAATTAGAAAAAGTGATAATTATATTAAAAATAATAAAAAATAAATTGGCCCCATCTACTTTGGGTTTCTCCTCTCCTTGCGCCAAGCCTGGCAGGGCTCCTATGCCAAGAGACATCATTATGCGCCCTCAGACCGAGGCGTTCTGCCTCTCCCGCCAAGGAAGAGGAAACCTGAGCTTAGGGCCTGGGCTCTTGCAACCTCAGCGGGGAGCTTATGACTCCCAAGGGAGCGGAGAGGCTTTTTTTTCCAGCACTTGTGGATATCTTCCCTCCTCTCCTGGATAGGGAAAGTTGTCACCTCTTTATAGGAGAGGGCAATGCTGGCGCCTCTGAAAGAAGCTCTTCTCTGTTCCCTCCTCAAAAGGGCTGCCGTAATCTTCTTATACTCAACTCCCGCCAAACTCCCCAAAGTCCTTCTGGGGAAAGAGCTAAGGAGAGCCACAGAAGAAGCAGATGATCTGAACCCGTGGACATCAGGAGACCGACCTGGGTCCTGGACTCGAATCTTGCTCCTTGGGTGGCTCTGTGGATGAGTCATGATGGGACGTGGCTGGCCTGGCTTTTGGCCCGGCTGGTCACTGGATTATCTGTGGCTACCAGGCCTGGGCATGCTAAGCACTGGGTCACAGCAGGGCTTCCCGCTGGTTGCTTTGGCCTTGTGTTGGAGGTGCCCTCCAGCCTGATCTTTGCTCCTCTGCTGGTCAACGCCCCATCTGAGGCTTCCATTGATCCAGGAGAAGATGTCTCCCACGCATAGCACCTATCCAGATCCAGCCTGGGTTGAATGGGGGAGAGGCAGAAGCCCTCATCCAGCACCCAGAAGCAGTCAGGGTCCGGAGGGGGAGGAAACGCTTCAGACCTACCCTTGTGAGCTGAAGAGGCTGTTCATCACAAAGCCCTCTCGACTCTGGGACGAGGGCCTGTTTTTGGTATCCTCCCTGCCAGAACTCAGGGAGGAGCCACTCAGGGTTACATGGAATGAATTGCATAGTCAATGCAAAAGAAAAATTAATCAATATAAAATAAAATGCCATGNTGTATGAGTGGAAAAAGTTGTTATGATACCTGAGCAACGAGAGATGACTCATATTTTGCTTATAACTTTGCAGCCTATACTAACTTGGTTTTTTAAAAGAAACAAGGGTTAATTGATATGATGGCTTTGTTAATGTATAGTTGAACCCTACTAGGTGGGTTTAAGCCAAAAACAATGAAATCCATAATTTCGTAAATGGATGAATGTTGCAAGACATTAGTGTGCATCTGTCTCTATCATAGGGCCTCTATCTAGACGAACATTTCTTGGGATTTAAAAACTGTATCATGTGACTCTACTGTCATGTGGGGAAAGGGAAAATTAAGGAAAACAGCAAACTTACTTCACCCAAGAAGTCATTAGAGGAGAATCTATCATAATCCCAGACACTGACTTCTAGAGTTTTCTTCTTCAGCTGCAAAAGATAATAAATTTTAGCTCCCATTGTGCAATTCACACCCAGCCCACAAAACATGCTCCACTGAATAATACCTTCTTGTACCCTCTATGCATTGGCAAGGTGGCCACTCGGCAATCATTCTCTTCACATTGACCTGGGGGTGGGAGGGAGATCTTTGGAACGAATTCTGAGTGGAGGAGTTATTTGGTCAAGCTTTAACCAGGGGCATCGCACAGTAGACCGTGTGAGTGACTATCTGGTGTAAGAAGAAGCCTTGTCCAACTCCTGCTCTGAGCGTAATTGTCTAAGGACCTTGGGCAGATGGCTCCGTCACCTCTTTCTTAACGTCTTAATTTATTTTTTTTTGAACGTGAAAGCAAATGTAGTTCATAAGGGTATCATGGCATAACTGACCTTTTAAATTAAAGACCTGATTGAAAGGTGTTGGGATCCAATGAATCCATGAAATTGAATATTCAATTTAAATTGGACACTTTTAAATCAATCTGGAGGTTTATTAGATTTCTATACATGTGTTACCCATTTTTTATCCAGTCAAATTGACAGAATCAACTTAATTGAAGTTGACAATTTCTTTAGATCGAATTGATATACTGTATTTTGATTTGAACTGACGAGTCAGTTTGGATCTTGAATGATTGGCATGTGCACAACTGATAATACCGTCCCACTAATATATACTACAGTGAGCCAGAACAATTCTCTACATTTTGCTAAGCACAGGGAGTTAAAGCAGCTGCTTCTCCTTTAACTTGGTTTTCCATGCATCTATTTATTTCCTGCTCTTCCTCATCTAGAAAAGCCAGCCAGATTCTACCAAGGGGTAAGCGGAGCAACCAGAAGAAACATGACCTTCGGATGCAAAGGAAGAAGAGATCAGGCAAGCCTGCCGTGGCACACCGTTTTCTTCTTCCACAGTCTGCCTTGCAAAGAACAGGTGAGTGGGGAGAGATGTTGGAAACCTTCCGGTCTGACCCTCAGCTCAACGCAGAGATTCACCCCAATAATATTCCTTCCATCAGGCCCATCTGGCCACTATTAAAATTGGGGCGAGCCCTGAGGAATTTAGCTCTGCTGCTGAAGAACTTTTTCTTAAGAATTTTTCCTGATGAACAACTGAAAATGGCTTTCTTATCATTTGCTTTTTATCCCGTCCTCTTGAACACTCTTCTGTCCCCTATTCTGTAATACCTGACAGGTTTCTGAACAATTTAAGGTGGTTATTAAGTGTCCCTGTAGATAAATATACCTGACACATCCAGATACACTCTTGCTACAAAAGGCATGTGCCGTTTTTGGCTGCTCATCTCTGAAATTACTCTGGTTTGCCAATATCTTTTAACTCAACACATTGTCTGGTCAAGGCCAAGAAAAGAGAAATAACAACTTTCCCACACAGCCTTTTTTCCCCTCTTTCTTTTTCCTCCCCTCCCAAGTCTGCTACCCACCCCATTTATAGCAGTAGACTTAGCAGTAGACTTATATACCGCTTCATAGGCCTTTCAGGCCTCTCTAAGCGGNGCCAGAACTCAGGGAGGAGCCACTCAGGGTTACATGGAATGAATTGCATAGTCAATGCAAAAGAAAAATTAATCAATATAAAATAAAATGCCATGAGCCACTGGAATGCCTACAGCAGCCTTTTCTGTAATTAGGCACACTGCTAACTCTGGTAACTTATATCCTGTCAGCCTCCTTTTTGGATTATTCTAATTTAACTTACATTAAATTAAATATTTTTGTGCCCTTGAAGATCACATAAGAATTTCAGTTGGCATGACATATAGCAGCCAAAATGGACAGTTTAAATATCGTCTTGTAATAAAACTATCGTTTTGAAAGCTTCATTGGCCATCAATACATCTTCCAATGAAATCAAAATACTCCTGTAAAAAGCTAACTCCATATGAACATTATAGTCTGCTGCAAGTTGTTCAAAAAAATTGAGCATATTAAATTCTGAAAAATACAAAGAAAACTAAAATTATGGCCATATGTTGGATCAGAATCTTTTGAGCGTTGGATGGCACACAAGTAATAACTTATTATGGTTGATTGCAAAGTCAGTCAGATGTTTAGAGAGGATTTGGCATTTTTGTTATTATTACTGTAGGGAAAGAGCCAGCAGAGCTGGGACAGGCAGAGTTCAACATGTCATCAGTTTAGAGTTGTTACATTGCCACAAACGGTCCAACCCCTCTTGAATTTTGTTGACCCTTATCTGGCGCAGATTTAGTAGTGAACTTTAGTTGATTGGATTCCTGTGTATAGACATAAGCAATAAATTCTTTTCGGATTGCAACTTGATGTATGGTCCTTATACTTTGTACTTGACAATTACTTTTTCAAGGATCAATAGGTTGTATTTTTGTAAAAAAAGGGCCTACTGAGCTGAATGTTAATTGGGACCAACTGTGGGAGAAGTTTGGAGTGGGGAATAATATTGATCAAGTTTGTTACAGTTCCCCTTTTACTTGTAGGGTGGATCTGAGATGCAGTAGCTGGATGGGAGACCACCATGTAATCCAAGGACAGAGTTTAGAGTAAAAAATAAACTTTCTGGCAGGTGTCAATGAACAAGTCACTACCCCAGATGGTCAGTTGATGTCCTCTTGAAGAAACCAATGGCTGAGTTCTCTTTGAGAAAAAAAAATACTTCCAATTTTCTGATCTCTTTATGGTCTTTGGATAAATTACTGATAAATTGCTTATTGGATGAAATCAAACCTTTGTTTGATTTCATCCAATCCAATTGTCTCCTGAAAGGCCCCAAAAGGCCTTTCAGGAGACAACTGAGAAATTTCTTTGCAATCTGAGCCGGAACAATTGTTCAGAGGGAGAGATCGAAGTCAATCTGTTGAACCTTCTGTCCTAAACGGCACATTCAAGAAAACGTTCAGGTCCATTTGCCTACCCTCCAGCCTCGGCCCCTTGGTTTCTCCTCAGACCAAGCCAAAGTGTGTTTTTCTCCCATCCTTTGTAAGTCCAAATGACATTTCCAACACCCTAACTGTGTGATCTTTCTAGAGCTGTTTTTTACTTATTGTACATGTGGATTATTGGAGGGGAATTAGGTGCGTATGCTGGCGGAAAGAGGGGAATACGCTATTAATGTAGGAACCGCTGTGATTTGCAGTGATGCTTCCGAAGCTTTTTGGTTTTTTAAAGTTGGGCTGTACGCTTTGCAGAGAGGTCCCTGGATGCTCATGTTGGCTTGTATTTATTTATGCTTATTTGGGATCCTTGTTTGTTTTGCGGGTCTGGTAGCAGACACTGGCTTTGCTCGTTGGCTCTGCTGCTGCAGCTGAGGCAGAAAAACAGGGGAGTAAAAGCAACGATCTCCAACCAAACGTTACTTGTTTTCCAGTTCGTGAATGTTGTAAAAAATCTAATGCACAAATATGTCACTTATGTAATCTGCCTGTTATTATCTGCTTACATAAGTAACCTTATAGCACAGGTCTCCCCTTCCACTTAATACAAGACGGCAGCCGAAGCAGCAGAGGGAGAAGAGAATTTGCCAAGCTTCCAAAGGCAAAACCTGCAGAAGGGCTGCCTTCCACTCACTGCTTAGGTCACGCGAGCCAGAAATGCTCCATTCGACCCTGGGGTGATTCCTATAAAAATGGGAATTTCCTAACTCTTGGCTTAGAGTACATTGGCCTGCCAAAAACAGTGCCGTTCTAGAGAGCTTTCATGAATGTTTTCATTTTTTGTGAAATAGGGCCTCATTCCTCACTTATCTAAACAAGAGGAAAGTCTTCCCTTTTCGTCACAACTAGACATTGGAGAAAGCCAGGAAAGATATGGAGCACAAGACAAGGGTTTTTTTTTTAACTGCCCAAAATTAAAACCACTGCATTGAAAGTCCTCTTGATAAAATGCTAATTCCAAATCAATATTTAGATATTTTATGTAATTTGTTGATGCTGCCCTCAAAAAGATCTTAAGACAGATTTTATTTTTTAATCTTACTTATGGGTTGTTGTAGCCCCCACAAAAACATTTGCTAAAAGAAAAATATGTGGTATATAAGCCTTGTTTGTAACAGAAACTAACCACGCAGAATGTGAATGTGTTCATATATAACAACTTCAACTGCCGTAGCACAGAATTTAGCTCCTTATCTTAACAGCTCAGTTGCCTCTTGGGATCAACTGAAGAGATTTATGATTAGTGGAGCATTCGGTTCCAAGCTCTAAGAAGGACCTCAGGGGCAATAGAAAATTAGATATGTGGCCGATTCAATCCCAGAACTTGTTTTGGGACTATTCCTGTATTTCCCCAACAATGCCAGTCCAGACACCCTAATGTATTCCTGCTTCTGATTAAAATGCTTGGGACAGATCTGCGTTGCAGATAAATCTAATTACTGGCATTATTATCCATTTATTTTGCCAGCAGTAGGGGAGAAGCATTTTAGGGTCCAATCTGGGCTGTTCACCAGGACCAGAGGCGTGGTCTTCTGAGCGTTGAGACTCGTGCTGGAGCCCAACCTCAGGGAACTTCTGTGACGGAAGAGAGAGGGGTTCCCTGAGGATGGGCTCCAGCATGAGTCCGAACGCTCAGAAGACCATGCCCCTGGTCCCAGTGACTGAGCCAGATCAGATCCAGCAACATTATTACCCTGGGACAGGTAGATTTGCATTTATTTGTGAGAACCCTTTCATTTTGGTCTTCTTAGTCAAAGAACTTGAGGTCAATGCTCTTAGGTGTGAGAACCATTAAGAAGAGCTGCAAAGGCCTATCATACTTTTTGTGAAATGACTGGAGAATGGAGTTTTCTTTAAACTGACTTTCTTAAGCAATATTCTTGACCGAAAAGAAATAGCCTTCTTACTTGGTCCTGATGCTGGCTCGGTGGTCTTGAGTGGGCTAACTTGTCTGGCAGCCTTCTGTCAAAAGCAGGCCCATTCTCCAGACGGGGCTCCCGGGGTTTGTCGAACCAATCTGTTTCCTCCCGACGCAGGTGGTAGGCTTTAAAAACCAAGGAC